TGGGGTGCGCGAGACGAGATACAGAAAAGTGAGGTAGCAATACGACAGCGCCGACAATTATTGAGACTGTTCCGCGTCGGACCTCGTAGAATCCGCCTGGGACCAGGCACGTTCTCAGATGGAATGTCGATCCGAGTGATGGCAGCTGACATTGACGACGCGTACTCGCCAGCCTTTCGCTAATAAAGTTGTCCCGGTGTAACGAACAGGTACGGGGCCCGAGCAAGAACCGGGAGCGCCCTAGAAATACGCGTAGAACGCGCGACAAGTGACGCGGAACGGATCCATGTAAATCCGCGCTTTAACGCAGGCCCAGGCTCGAATTAAGGGAATCGTTGCTCGGGCGAACGCGCAAGAAAACTGGCGCACGGCTACGCAGACCGGCTGCCTGTACGAAGTATCGGTTACCAACAACGACAGCCAGAAACTGGCGGCCGGGAAAAAAAGAGGAACGAAGTACGAGCAGCGAGAAACCGTAAATCGATCCGGACCGCGTAAACGCGTTCTACTCCGATAAACGAAGCTGCTGTTTTACGTAAAACACCGTTCCTTCCCGGAAGAACGATTTTACTCGTCTGTACGGAACCGTTTTCAGCTCCACGTTCCGCCATTCACGTCTCGCAGGAATTTTCAAGTGGGCACTACGTTCATTAAAATCGCGTCGTAAACTGTGCGAGCTTGGATATTCATTTTTCATCTGTGTCACGCTAATTAGATTTATGCTGCCAGGCCGGGCACGAGGATAAGCGTAAATAAGGTTTCAAATTGAATTTAGTGAACGTATTTTTTCGGTCTTTGTTTTAGTGCAAATTCGATTCTTTTTTTATAGTAAACATAGATGTTACGAATACAAGAATGATGTCGCTTTATTGTCGGCTTACCAATATTTAGAGAAGAAACCAGTTTCTACTTAACTCTCGTTTCTCTAAATTTAAGTATAATAGTACTAGTCAGGTTACGACTACATTCAACTTGCGACTGTAAGAACCATTCGCTGTTAGAGTATGAATTATTCGAGCAATCCCGAAGACAGTGGTGATCGGTAAGAATAAGAATTCCGAGCACAAAGGGTGAAATCGTGACGCAAAGGTAGCGCGGGCACGTGTTAACGAAAGGCTCGGCGAGGCGAGGGCTCGCGGGAACAGACAGATCGAAATTGCGTTCGCCGCGAAAGCACCGGGGAACTTTAACGTCGATACTGCTCGCGGAACTCGCGGCGTGTAGTTGCCAATCTGACGGGGAAAAATCTTGAACACCGGTTAAAGCTTCCCCGCCGGTTAGTTACAATTTTTGCCCCTCTTCCGCATCGCTTCTGGGAACGAAGATATTCGAAGAGAAGGCTCGACGCGCGGCGAAGACTTCGTATGGAAATCACGGGGCCAGGAATTGATGAACAATGACGTTACTTCGAGCGTCCGACTGACTTCGTTCCAAATAATAGAACGCGAAGAGCAAACGTTTCGAGATTATATTCTCTTCGTCGAGGAAACTGGCGCTGATATCTAAGAAACTTATCGAGCAAAAGGAATTTCATCGCGAAAGAATAAATAGAACCACGAATACCATGAAATATGATTTCCATCGAGTCTTCTTAACGCTTTTTAACGGGTGCAAAAATCATATTCTCGGATGCACGCTCGACGCATTGAATTTCATTAGGCTCGAGCGGAGGAGCAAGGCATGTCCCGTATAAAAGTGATAATTCCAACGAATCCCGGCATTTCGGTTTCTTTCCGATGAAATAATTCGCTTCGATTTCGTTGGATTCCCGTGAATATAATTTCCATTAGGCGAACGGCGCATTCCGCGAGAATCAGGCCAAGAACGCGCGGCGGTCCGCAGTCGGAATCCGATCGACCCGTCGCTTTTCCTCCTCGTCACCTATTTTTGCCGCGAGTCCCGTTCCGTTTGCCAGAATGCGTAGCCGCGCCGCTCGGAGGAGGGACGAGAAGCGTAGCGTATCGGCGTGACGCGAGTAAAAAGTACCGCGAATGCCGCGGATACTTTATCAGGCAGGTTTAACCGATCTTAAAATTTAAACGCGGTCAGCTTCTTCCCAGCATCCTCGTTCGGCAGCCTTCGAGCTACGATTAGAGATACAGAAGATGACAGGGACGAAGAAGAAGATGACGACGACGACAACGATGATGATGATGATAATGATGAGGATGATGATGATGAAGACGGCGAGGCGAAGGAAGGAAAAAGGAAAAAGGAGGAGGAGGAAGAAGAAGAAGAAGAAGAAGAAGAAGAAGAAGAAGAGGAAAAAGAAAAAGAAGACGGCGAGCGAGTGAAGGAGAAGAGGAACAGGAGAAGGAAGAGAACGGGACAGAAGAAGAAATGCATATTTACTTGGTCGCATGACCGCCCAAGAAATTTAATCCCGAGCGATCGACCGCAACGAGGAGGAAACGAGGCGACGCGGAAGAACAATGGCCCCGTCGTCGCCAAGACTGCGTTCCCTCATCCCCAACATGGTCGCAATGCGTCTCACCCAGGAATTCTATCGAAGTGTTATCTTGGTCTCCCATGCCCTTTTTAGGAATTATCGGATTGACCCAATTCAGCTACGTCTAAGTTGTACATTCGGGGAAATCGTCTTTCTCTTAAACTTGGGAAGCTGCGGTAATGGGGACCTAAGCTAACGATCTAATGAATTCCAAGATAACGGGCCTCGGATAACAAACCCAATTAGATCTATCTCCAAATCACCATAATCAGATCGATGCAGCAGTCCAATTTTCCTCAGATTCCCATCTTCCACTTCGTCGGGATTAGTTTCTTTAAAAACGTAACCTTTTGTTACGTGAAGTCTAACAGGTTCTCCGGGGATATAGAACTCTGAAGTCTGCAACTTCGAAGTTTTCTTCGTGTCGAAACGAGTTCTCGGAGTCACCTCGACGACTTCTTCCCCGCGCAGCTGGAAAAGTATCGGCGAAGAAAGCAATCGATGTTACGCGTGTGACGTAACGGACACGTGCCCGACTCGGCCCTCTCCGGCGATCGTGGCTCTTGCTTTTTCCTCACGAACCTGACGCGCGATGAAGATCGACCCGTTATTTGCTGCAGATTGCCGCTTTAAACGCGCCGCGAGCATTCTCTTTGAATATCCTGCCGCGGCTAATCGTTATCGAACGATCGTCGTTGATCGAGGAATCTGGCGGTCGTCTTCTGTATTATTTTCATTCTCGTGTTTTATTAGTTCCATTCGAGGGAGCTCGATACGAAGAAATTCCACGTCAAATGATGTGTTCATTTCGAGTCGAATTAATGGGTTGCGATAATTTATAACTGCATTAAATCGAGTCGAACGGTTTAAACGGCCGGCGATCGGAACGTAAGAGTTGATTCAATCGACGCTCCACCGAGTGTCAGCTTGACGAATTTTGGAACGATGATACTGATCGATTGCCTCTGAATCGTCGGAATGAAATGAAAATTAGAAATGAGGATAATTGGAGAGTCGCGAAGAAGGAGGGAACTGATTAACGATGATCGATCTAAATAGAACGCGGCTAACGAAGGGATGTTGCTTTAGGCAACAGCTCGCCATGATGATAGACGCGTGATGTACAAGCAGTCAATAGCGTTTCATCAGATATCCGCGGTACCGAGATACAGAGGTATCGCGGTGCTGTTAGAATCTAGATAGCTAAAAGTTCCCTCGCTCGGTCCGACCGCGATGCAATCTATAATCCCGTCGGCTATTACCAACAAGCGAAACCAATTCCAATCAACGTCCTCCCACATGTTCACCCTTCTTTCGTGTCGTTGGATTACAAACAACGGAACCCGCGATACGTCTGTTATCGTTCCGCAGTCTGACAGCGGCGTCAGCTTATCAATTCACAGTTGGCATTGATATGATCGATGATCTCTTCACCTGTTATCGGCAAGAAAAACACTTGTAATCTACAGTACACGTGTCACAACTGCATCGATCTTCGTTTTTCACCGTTCGCAACGGAACACTGGAAAAATCGTAATCCGCGACACGATCGTCGTAATATACCTGCATTCCGCTACCGTTCAACGTTAACGTTCTTAATGGGTCAGCGTAGGATGTGCCCATCCAACAATAAACAACGCTATTACCAGCATCGAACAACCGGTCCCCGTATAATTCGATCATTTCAACACCTCGACCGGTGAAAACCTAGTAATGAGCTTCTGAATGAAAGACGTCAACAACCGCCTTAACGATTCCATTTTAATTGATAATCTCGAAAGAAATCGAGGTTATGCCCAGTGTACCAGTAATTTATGCATACGCTAATGATTACATTCCTCGCCGGTTGCCGATCGGCGATCGCTGTTCGTGATCGAGAAACAAAATGCATTAAGACGTCGCCAGTTGTTAATCAGCGATTTTCAAAAAACCGTTTAAGAACCGCCCACAGCTAGAGTGTTAATGTAACGAGGAATCGCTGGCAAGAAACTCGCATCCAATTTACATGCGCATCAATTCCCGCCGTTCGCCGCGGACGCTCTTCGCCTCGCGGGTCACAAAACCACGAGCGGTTCGGGTGCAGCGAATTTCCCGAGCAACCGCGGCGCGCGGACCCAGTAACCCCGGGGATACGCGTCACATGAATCAGCCCCGGCGTCCACTCGTTAACAGGCGAACGGGCCCGGCGAGGAGCACCGGCAATTTTGCGCCAATAAAATCATTCGTGATAAACGATTACGTCCCGGTGAATCCCTTCGTTCGAGTCAGGCCCGGGAAAGAAACCGGCGCATCGCCGTGGAACATTTCAGAACAAAGGAATCCGGGGGCGAGCAAGAAACGCGCAACGAATCATTCTGCAACCGTGCTTCGTTCCACCTTGCCGATGATTTTTACTTGTACACCCTTCCTGGCGTGTTTTTCGTTCCACGAATGAAACCGACTCGCGACCGAGCGTGTTAGGCCGCTTTCACACGGTGATACGCGTATCGCGATACTCATTTGGGAATTACGGGTATCTATGGCGTTTTTCTATCGATCATTTGTATTTACACAAATTGGTAACTGTTGGATTTCCTATTTCTTTCGAGCTTTATGATAGCTGTAATTTGGGAAGGTTACCACTTACGAAAATCCGGAGAAATATTCTTATCTTGAAGACCCGAGCTTTCTTTGAGCCATTCTCGCGTGAATAGGACGATTCGTGAATTTCGGAAATGCGAGTTTCGAGTTTTAGAGATTGAACTTCCTTCGTGTTCGAATGGTAGAGATGAAAGACTAGGTAATGTGCTAAAGTGAGGAAAATAGTTGGAATTAAAAAGTTTCAGTATTCATCACGCGTATCGTCTTGTGAAAGCGACCTAACCCAAGCCCGGCGCTTACGCGCAACGCTGTAGTTATTTATCGCTTCGTTATTATTATTTATTTATTTACTCTTGCAGGCCCTAATGGGACGTAATGACGCCGGGACTCGTCGCTCTTCGGGGGGGATGAATGATCGGACGGTCGCGCGAGCCGCACACACCGGGTGTCCGTAAATCAACCCTTAGCCGAGCGAGGCCGGGGTTAAACGGCATTTGGAATTGGCTGGATCGTTATCGCGTTCATTTAGCTCGGCTAAAGACGGAATTGATGACGGTTAATTGATTGACCCTCTTTACGACGCAATCGATCGTATCCCGTCGCGATTTGTTAGATCCTCTTTGCTTTGATCAGCGATGATCTGGGTGAGCGTGGAACGACTGGCGTTGCCCGTGTGCACTTGTTACAGTAAATGTTCGTTTCGCTATGAACATTAGACATTTATAGTCTCCACGATTAGATTAAATAAAATCTAATGAAACTATCGTTATCTGTGTATCTTTAAAAATCTCGCTGTCCTCTTTGCACTACGATAAATAATTCTTGACAGACTCGAAAAATAGAAGGAAATATATGCTCCAGCAAAAAGCAGAAGTACTTTATTAACATCTTTATCATTTCTAATATGCATACACTATAAGTAGCAATGCTGTTACTATGTTTGCCCCACTTTCCTCCACGAATCATGTCATAGGAGAATATCTTCGTTCATCCGAGTGCGACCAAAACGATCGATGAAAATTCGAATTTCCATAACTGTCGGCAATTTAGTTCTAATTAATCGTTTCATGGGCAATCAATAAATGTCACCAATGAAAAATCTGTGCCCGCTTAAACATCCGTACGTTATTAATGTGCGCGGGGCCGATTTCTTGTAGTATTGCTGTTGCCGCACAGGCCTATATTATATTACTGTTATAATGTGTACGTTTGAGCCTGTCGGTCATGGAAAATCGATGAAAATCAAGAGGCCATTAAATCCTCCCAATAAGATCGCCACGAATTTTCAGTTCATGAATAATCGCTGGCGGATGGCTCGCGGATCGACGCTGCGTACCGCCACCAGGTATAATGAGAGAATAGCAGAGGACATTTACTCGGGGCGCCACATGGAACGGACCGTTATCCTCGGTTCGCGGCCCGCCGTCACTCTCCTTCTTCTTCTTTCTCCATTTTTCCCCGACGTTCGCGACTGGACAAGAGTGAACTCGGATTTTCCGCCCACTCCCCCGACCGCCGATATCTCGACGATTGTTCCAGCTGGCATTGATTCCGACGGGACAGCTGAAAAGCGGTCCGCGATTCCTTTTTTTTCGAGAAACGTTCAATGTCACGTCCGTACGAGTTCTATCGCTTCCATTGTATTTCGTAGTTGGAAAACGAGCTTGTGCTCCTATGTTCAACCGGTTGAGCGCCAACGATCGCACTTCTTCGAATTGAATGAAGTTTATTTATTCGTCTTTCTTCTAATTAATTACTTTTGTCATTGCCTGCTTTGAAATGGAAATATAGAACGATGGTGCTATTTAGAATTAGTTTATGTGAAAATCCCAAAGTTCGATAATTCAGATAAGGAAAATTGAAGATTACAAATATGTTGCTAAGCAGTTTCTGTTATACAAAATGATTTTCATTTGAAGGGTAACAATTTTGTGCAAATCAATTCCGTTTCTCTATTTATATAACCTTGGAATCGAAACGCAGAATGTCCATTGCCATTGGAGAAACTTCATAATATCCCCGTAATGTAACAAAAATATAACCACCATATGTTTAGTTCTATACCTCGCAACTTTTGTCTGAAACATTTGTTTGTATCACTCACTTTTCGAGCAGATTTTTGGAAAGACCCGTAGCACTCAAACGATTATACAGGGACATTGAATTTTTTATTTGAAAGAGAAGCGTTGTATTCTCTAGATTTTGATTGTTGATTTTTTAAAATAGAAATTAGTACATTCCGCTGTTTATACAGGTGTTGAAATATTTTCAAAATAATGATTGGCTCTGGAAAGTGTAAAATAGTTTCTTTCAGAGAATTTTTGTGAATTATATCTTTAGCATCCTCGTATAATACAATGATATAATCGTGAATTAGTTAAGAATCTTGAGTGAGTACTTTTTAATTCAATTCCGTGCTTAACAAATATACGAACTGGTAATTCTAAGCTAGAATTTATCTATCAATTTATTTTAATTATCCACAGTACGAAGTGAGTTCGCGATGCGTCTTTGTCGAGAAAATTCAAGTGTAAGATGCGTTGAGCTCGCGTGCTACTGATTGCTGCCGACGAGCATGTCTGTCCATGTCTAACTGTTCCTACTTCTGTCAAACTAATGCCGGAGTTACAACTCTACTACCTGCTAACGATCTATCAATAACACGTTACCCTGAAAAATATTTGCGGAAGTTGTTTACAACTAGAATTATCCAGTGATATACAGACACATACACAAAATTGTCTTCCACGGTTATTATCTTCCATTTTATCAATATCCTCTAATCCAATAATCCTCTCGAAACAATTTTATTAATTAATATTCACAGCTCAGAATAGAAATCAACAAAATATATACTTCAAAATCAACACACGCCAATTATCTTCTTCCTTCGCGTCTACTTTCACACCACACGTCAGCGCCTTATTGTATAAATTCAAACAAAGCAGTTTCATCTCTATAAACTTTTCTTAACGTACAACCCACGGAATAAAATACTTCTACCGCAACAACCGCAACATCGTGAACACTTTTCGTATCAACTCGTTCTCGACGTATCCAAACAGAATAAATTTTCGCCAAACTTCCGGCATTCGGCGTATCTCATACACCGGAAGTGCTTATAACGTTAAGCGCTAATAACGTGACAACGGATTTCATTCGCAGGGGATCCCAGAGCATTGTTACAACCGAAAGGAACGTTTAATTGTCGTCGACCGTTAGAAACCGACCGCACCACCTGTTAGGCGTTTCCCAGCGTGCACATCTATCCGGGCGGGAACGAGACGGATAATTCATCCCCTCCCCCCTGGCCTCCGTTCAATTTAATTGACCGTGACCAATAAAAGTCCGCGGATCGCAGTTAATCCATCATCGCGATATATCGGGCAAGCGGTTCTCGAAAATCACGGCAAAAACGAGCGAGGATACAGATCGCCGCTGTTAAACGCGGACGATGTCAGCTGGTTGATCGCGGGAAACACGGGAAAACGATCTCGATCGTTATTACCGGCTAACGACCGTTCTATGTACGCATCTTTCGTTTCCATCAGCCCGGGAGGAAGATCGAGGACACTAAATCACCGTAAACGTTCTCGACGAGCATCCTGGATGCATTAGTTCAGTCCAGTACAATTACACGATACCAATATTCACGGATCGCGTCCGGGCGACCGCTAAGACGGATCAAGCACGACGCAACGCGACGCCACCAAACGATCGAGCTCGATTCTTCCCCGCGGATTGTTTCGAAAATTGTTCCGTCCCGATGCGATCTGGCCTGTCGCACACGCGACGTCATCGCACGGAGCGTCCCCGCGGATTCAACGAGTTCGCGGAAACCGAACGGCTTCCTCGAAACGAACGAGTTAAGGGAGGACACTTCTTTTGTGTCCGCGCAATTGGACTGGCACGCAGCCGCTGTCGCGTTTACCGTGATCAGCGATCGTCGGATCGGTGTCTTAACCCCTTCACGGTCTGATAAGGTTTCGAACCGAGCTGAGAAATTTGAGGATCTTCCGTGATGCTTCGAGTTAGATGATTTAGACGCTCAACCCTTGGATTCACTTATGTTGGTTGCATTGATCAAATACCTTTGAGGCTCT